AATAATAAAACTTTGAATTACTGATAATTTCGAATTGCATGTTAGCATCAAATTATCCTTTGATTATCGTATATTGATTCATAATTTTATGTTTAGTAATTGATAAAATAATTTTTTTTTACGTTCATCTTAACACCAGTGTGGTCATTTGTCATTGGCCATTTGGCCTTAATTTATTCGGTCATTTCACTCATTTGATTCTGATCATTCAATGGTATCACTTACACCTTCAGTTTTTTTGGTCAACCAAAGGTTTAACAAGAGGATATAGCTTTCACGAACTTCGCTTCTACCAACAGAAATTTTTGTTATAATAATATGCGATATTGAACCTTGTTTAAATTTTGTCCCAGCCAGCTTGGAAGTTACATCGGCCAAATGCTTCCTTTACTATAACCATGAACATAATATGCGCAGTAGTTGGTCCATTAGCAGCTTTTTACAAAAGATTCCAGAGATGAAAGATTTAAGTTTTTATTTACTCATGTATAATATTATCATAATTAATCTTCTTTCTATGCGGATAGCAAGTTCAAACTTGACGAATAACAGAATTGGCTCCAATAATGGATCCATTGGTAATTGTCATAACTGATCTGATTTTACCGAGGTTTGTTGAACTTCGCTTTATGGTAATAGAACATCAACGTTTGAGTTTTATATAATGCAGATGCAAACGATGGGTATTTTGTTTCCTATCACCAGCAGGTATACCATCGATTTCATTAAAGATATGTGTTTCTTTTTCCGTAACCTCATTTGTGCTTTGATTGAGAAAATCACTAATCGACCTAAAAGTTTTTTTTTTTGTTATTAACGGACTTCAAAAAGTTTTTTTTTTTGTTCCCAGTATCATCAGTATTAGGATCAATCCTTTGAGTTAATTGCAATAAGATATTCCGGGAGAACGTTCTTTGATCTTAAATTAAGTCATCTTTGCAAATCTTCACGAGATTCTGATCACCGCGAAAATTTTTGAGAATTTGGCGACATTTTTCTTTTCATAATGGTACAGTTTTAGATAAGGTAGGTGAGGCAACTGTCAGGTCAATTTAGTACGTGGAATACAAAAGTGCGAGCGCAGAGAAAGGAACATATCTTTTTAAAACTTCCTTTATTATATTTATCAACTTCATTTTTTAAATAAAAAGAATCAAATAAAGAAATTATTTATTGGAACATAATTTCATTTAAAAATCTAAGCATTTACAGTATATTTTTTTTTAATGAAATGATATAATACAATTTATATATTTTACTTTCTTCTACAGTAAATATACATGATGTCAATTCTTTTTGTTCATTACACGATTTAGATATTATGATTGGTATTTTCTCTTATTACTTTCTCGGCTTTTTTAATACATCATAATGATCTGACCCACCCGGTTATGCTAAAGGATATCCAACAAAACTAGATATACAGTAATAAAATAGTTATGACATGTAATAGTGATAAAAAAAATATTATTAATTAAGTTATTAGTTTGATTTCATAATAAATTTAATGACATGATATTATCCGCCAAGAAATCTGTTAAATATCCGCGAAATTATTTTATCCGGATACTAATCACTAAATTGCGCATAATATATAAAATCTATTTTTAACCATATATTATAAGTAATTTGAACAGTTGTAACGAAATTATTATTTTGTCAGATATAAGTAATTACATAATTATGTTATATCCATCCCTTACATATTGTAATATATAAAAATGAAGTTCTAATGCTAGTATCAAAAGTATCACTCCCCAAAAAACATTTTCTGTATATTCAAAAATACTAATTATTATAATAAAAAATTTGTAAAATTGGTATGTCACCTAATAGTTATTGGCTTAATTGTCTTATTTAAGGCGTTTCTCTCAATATGATTTGAGTAGTTATAAAGTAGGAAAGTAGGCGCTTTAGAGTCATTATTTTTTCGGTAAGATAGTAGGATCAGAAAATTTAGATAATTCTATTGCGTGAACTTTGCTTCTCGTTCCCTTAAGATAAGTTCACGTTCTTTTAAAGCTAGTTCTCTTTCTCGATAGTATTCAAGTTCTGTAATAGTATTTTCCTTGGTTTCCTTATTATTATTATTATCACCGTCATCAGAAATTACAATTGTCTTAGATTTCTTTTGTGCATTTGCGTTTCAGTAGTTGATTTTGTTTTTTTTAATCTGTGCATTTGCTAAAATATGGAAAAAAAATAATCATCTTATCCTAATTTTGCTAGTCCTTCGCAGCCACAATGTGCAGAATTTTGTTGGCAGACGCCAAGATTTGAAGTTTCGTTCGAGAATCCTGAATGGAAAGCATTAAAATGGCCACAGTAATAACATTTTTCTGGATTGTCTTGATCGTTCAGGTAATTTTGACAGCCGCAATTTTTGTTTTGATATTGACAAATTCGAAGTGACATCTAGAAAAATTTAATCCATTAAATTAAATTAAATATATCATAAATTTACAATTTTTATGTACAATATTACCTTTACGTTTGTAAAATTGAACATTGCGGGCTATCACGTCCTATATTATATGTTTGATGAATGTTAATAGCTATGAATCTTTCTTTATCCAATCTTTGTTCTCCATAATAAATTAAATTGTAACGAATAATTTGATTTTCTCATCACGACTGAAGATGTAAGAAACTAAAACCTTTCCGACACAAAAGTCTGTGTCACAATCTGTCTTTTGCCTTTCGATGGAACAGAATGAAGCAATTCGGTTGTCTCTTTAACTTCTTTTCATATAAATGGTCCTAAATTAGACGCAAGCTAATAACATAAAAATTTTATTATATACTACATTATAAGAATATATAAAATAAATAATTAAAATGTTACATACTGTAAAATTGCTGTTACAAGTTTGAGATCTTTTCCTCGGCGGTTGCTTAAGGCGTGTGTTGCGCCGTTGCCTCTGCAACATTAGTATTATCAGGTGAAGTTGCATCATCAATTTTTGACATACATTTATTAAGTGATATAATGACTCACTTTTGAGGGTAGAAGGTAAAATTTAACCAAATTTATAAAAATGATATTAATAAACATTATAATAAAAGTAAAGAAATGGAACTTATCAAAAAAGATTTACTAACCTGCAGCATCATCTTCACCTGTCTGAATATTATTAAATATTTGGTCAAGTAAAAAATACATATATATCATTTTTTAAAGTATTATTATTATATTTTTTCTTGAATTTTTCTATATGATAAATAATTAAATATTATATAGTATAAAATTAAATAAAAGTAAATGAAAAAATTGTAATATCATTCTTACCTTTTGTAATGCACCTGGCATGATTTAAAAATTAAATGTTCTTCCCAATCCATTGTTCTGTCTATATTATTTAAAATTGTTGCCTGTAAGCGCAAAGATCTTTTGCTTGTGTATAGTCTAAATCTGCAATAATGCAGCCCCAACCGACTTTATAAATGTGTTTAAGCTGTGATGGAGTGCCAATTAATTTATATAAAAGGTTAAATAGAGTATTGAATTCTTTCATATGCAACAATTGTTGCGCAAAAGTAAAATCTAAATAATAAATAAGAATATTAATGTAATGCATAATGATCAATAATAATATATATAATAGAAAAACTTACTTAATTATGTTCGGTATTATAGTCATTTCACTGCTACACGTTTAAAAGAAAGGTCTATTTGAAAATATTCACACTTTGTCATTCAACTGATCGCTGTGAAATAGTACAAATTATCGTCACATGTTTATCTTCAAAAAAAAAAAACTCTAAAGAAAATATTATTAATTCCGTTAAAATTTTGATATTTATTATTTAAATTCATTTGCTATATAATATTTACCTAATCGCTTCACATAATCACAAAATTATTTAATGTACGTGAATCATTATAAACAACACCATGAAGTCCTTGTCCTTTGAGGGTGAATTTCTTTTTGTATCTTATCAACATAATATCGAAGATGATCATTATTATTTAAAGATATATGCACTTCAAAAAGACAATCAGTTCCGAAGTATGAGTATATCTTGATAAGATTTCCTAAATAATATTTAATTAATAAATTGAATAAAACTTTATTTATTACTTGGCTATAATATAAAAAATTTTATCATCATTTTCATGTTATAGATACTCACATATGATATTTAGCTACCTCTGCTATAAGATCATTCTTCATAAATAATATCTTCCTTATTAGTATTCATGGTTAAAAGTTTTATTCGAAAGAGAACGAGGGAAAAAAAAATCTTCTTTGATCGACTGATTATTATTTATTATTGTATGTATTACACAACATGATCTTATGTTTAAAAATTGTAAAAAAGCGTGCAGTATTTTAGTATTTAGTATTTCCAGTTCATCTTAACCCACTATTTGAACTATTGTTACTGCTCTATATACTTCTTTCTGAATATTAAATAAATCTATATTTAGTTTATGTGTAAGGTGATATGGTTGAGGACAGCCTCTGTATTTACATTTTGGCTAAATTTTCAAAGTACGCATTCCTGAAACAGAGCGTCCGTAATATTTCAATTTCATTATCAAGTAAACGAAGAAAGTAGAAATTATATATTAAAATCATTCTTACTGATTGAAGTGGTAGGTAATTTTCATTTTTATCTTTAGAATTTTTTCTACGACAGAATTTATAACACTGCCAAAAACATAGAATAATTATTAGACGAATGAAATGACACTAAAGAATAATACTGAACCGTTTAGGTGCAAAAATACTCCGATATCATCACTTATTCCATAATATTAATACAATAATATATATCTTTTACTCGGATTTTTTCTAATTGCACAAATTTAGAAAAAATATCCTGTAAAACAAACGGTCAAAGATAGACAACTTATTAGAAATAATAAGTAATAAGTCTCCTTCAACCTTACAAGAATTCTCTGGAGATGATTGGAATTTCTCGAAAAATGGTTTGTATGGAAAAAGCAAAACTAATAATAAGAAAGATTGAAATATATAATAGATTGTAAGTTTATGAATGGATCAGTTGGTAAAGGAAACGAGACACAGATTGTATGGGAAATGGTAATAAAAGAAGTAGACAAAACTAAAGCAAATGAATGTTGCAAGGTATAATAATTTTATCCTTTTTATTAGTTAAAGAAGAAAATGTTATCAATATAATAGCGGACAACTCGTTAATCTATATAATTGAAAAATTTAGTGACGAAAATGGCGAACGCAGAAGATTATTATATTAAATTATCATTGGATAATAACTTACAGTGACATGGAATGTATTGGATGATGGAAAGCATGGAAAAGATGACGGGACTAATATAAAAGTAGTTGATGATAATATGAAATAGCGCGAGCCTTAACAATTCGGAACTGAATAAATTTGTATTGCGATGGATAATATTTGGTGACTATCGAAATTGGGATTAAAAGGCTAATGCAAATCAAATACAAAAGTGAGTAATAACTTTAAAGAAATATTTTATAAGAATATTTTACAAAAAACTAACTTGGTTAAAACGGTTGAATTTATTTATTTCAAAAGAGAAAAGGAGACACTAGTGAATTGGACAACAATTTACGAGCGTATAGATTAAAAATCTAATTAAACAGTTACCAACATATAATATATTAGTAGAAAGAAAGATAGCGCAATACTTAGAGACGCATGTATAAGATGCGAAGACAACATTGAGAATATTCGTTTTGTAGAAAACTGATCGCACGTTTGGGAATGTCCTAGTAACCAATACGCAGAAGAAGAGATATTTATAAATACGTTGATATCATTAGAAGAAGAATATAAATGAAAATATAAGTACAATTCGCTATTATTTTTACAAGAAAAATCTAATATCCTAGTTATTAATAAAGACAAGAAGTTAGAAAACTAACTAGAGGTATTTTTAACGATAACATTTATGAAATAGCAAATTTTAAAGAAGAAAGACGTTTATTAGAAGAAATATGGAAAACATGCTATGATGATGTAAGAGATAAAATATGGTTGCAGCGTTGTAAAGAAGTTGGGAAAGCAGATGGAATTGTAGCAAAAGATAAAAAAAGGAAACTTATGGAAGAAAATAATAAATTAGACAGTGATACAGAAAAAATAAATAAAATTAAACAAATAATCGAAAAATAGAAAAAGATATTATAACAGATGAAATTGTTAGTAATAGCATAATGATTAATAGATCGTTTCAAATATTTGGAGTACACAGTATATTAATTATATTAGTTATAGATAGTTTATAGATAGGAAAAGTCCAGAATCTATATCGGCGAACAAAAGTTAAAAAAAAATGAGTTCACGTAGCCTCTTACCTTTCCGATATAGTAATTCTTTCAACATCTTGAGCCGAAGGAGCTTGTGTGCTGGAGTCGTCGGGAAGTTGATTGTCTCTATTTGATCGATGACAGTCTTGTAAGAATTGTCTGCTGGAGGCACTGGGAAATCCAATGCTGGTTGGTTCGATGACAGTTATGTATGAGCTATCGCTCGCGATGGTATAAGAATCGTTATCGGGAGGAGGAGTTCTTCGGAATAAACGTCCGGGGCGTTGATGATGTTTTGATCGTGTTGGGAAATTACTACGTAGGTGGGTTCGTATTAGTGGTTAGCGGTTAGTGTAACATCTTGCATGATCAAAGATCGTTTTTGAAGGTAGTGTTGTTGGAGTTGTATGGCACGGTCGACCCGTAATTATATTGTGGTATAGCATATTTATTTATTTATTTATTTTATTCAAAAGAGTAGTTAATACAATTATAGCTATATGTCTAATAAACAAAGGGAACTATCTGGTAAAAAGAACTAGAAATTCATCCCGTTACCAGGACCTCACCCTTCGGGAAGCACTATTTTAACAGTAAAACTACGCTACTGAGAAATTTTTAATAAAAACGATAATCTAACTAAAAAAAGCAAAATAGAACGTTAAAAAGATTATCTAATAGACCCAAAGGGGATTATATATTAAAATAAAATAAATCAATAGAATTGAAGCGTGAAGAACGCGTAAAGGAAGTGGATGATAAATCTATTGTTAGAGACGAAATCCAAGATAGGTTATGGAGGAAATTAGAACAAATCCAAAGAATAGGGCTCTTGTGTCAGTAAATGGATGAGTATAACCATGAATATTATATAGATCGTAACGAAGATTGGTATCGAGGTTATTATTGATGGAAGATTGTTATTGTTGTTTATTCACACGTTTATAGTCTTTAAAGGATTTTTTTGTGATGTCGTATGCGGTTTTCCACTTTTTCCAACAAATGGAACGTTCACGCCAAATGTGGAACATCTATCTAATATTAATATATAAATAAATAAAATTAACAATTTCACAATCACATGATTCGCATCATGAAAAGAACGAATGTTAAAAATCGTTTCACTATACCTAAGGAGAAAAATAAAGTCCAAGTTCGACCTGAAATAAAAAATTCGGAAAAACAAAATTAAAAAAAAAAAACTTCAAAGAAAAAAGTTTCAAAACGAACCGATTTGAAACTTACTGATCGATCCCATCATCCGGGATAAGGTGGTTGTGATTGTTTGTGTGTTTGTCCCTGGCGCATGATATCCTCCATAAATGTTTGTTAGAGAAACGATTAGAGGTGGTATGCCAGGACAAGACATTCCAGTATTTATTTGTTGTGTCTGTGCGTGAAATCCTATCATTGGAGATGAAACAGTACATCCGCAAACAAACGGGTCGGCAGACTTTGATTTTTCTTCGCTTGGCTGTCAATAACCGTTCTAGGGGTATGCAAATAAAAAAAAAAAATGGCCACCCATTAAAAGTAATATACTCGATTCGGAAGAAAATACGAACCTGCAGCACTTCTATGTCTTTCCCCTTTACCATCCTTTTTGAACGCGTATGATACAGTAATTGGTATATTCATCAGATATTGCCCGTTCATCATTGCATCAATTGCCGCATCTGAAGAATCGAAATTGTCATATGAAATAAACCCATACCCTTTACTATTACCAGTATCGGGATCTCATGCAATCTAAATTAAATATTTTGACTTAATAAAATTAAATATGTAAATTGAATTCGATATTCGATTATTAGTCTATATTAATACCTTGGAAGTAATACCAAAAGTGCTGAACGTATCGTACAACATTTTTTCACCAATACCAGAATCCAAATTCCCTATAAATAATGAAGCGCTTACGTCCAAATTCTTTTTGCCCAAAGTTACCTAATAATACGACGAAACGTCAATGCTACACAACAAACAATAAAAACAAACCAAAATGTTTCCGCCTACTTTATTGACACGAATAGGTTTCCCATACAACTTGATTTGATTCATTATCTGCATCACCTTCACTCATATATTCACAAGACTCAATCTTGTAAGAAGAATCTTAGTTCTTTCCGTTCTTCAGAAGCCACCTGAACTGTTCTTATTACCACGAACCCGTTTCGTCGGGCAATACCTACAAGAAAAAGAAACGTTAAAACGTTTCTAAAATAAAAAAAAAAAAGGACTCCCTTTCCCAATTACCTTATTATTCAAATTCCAGTTCGTAGGTTTGACCGGCATTCCCGTTCCTACACGAACAATATAAGCATTTTTTTAAGAAATTATATATTTTTGTATTTATATTTATTTATTTATAATAATAAACGAAATAATTTCTTTAAGTAAATATAAATATAATGGATTTTATGCGGATATACGTTTTAGTCAAGCGACAAAGTTGTGTTTGATTGAGAGGACATTGAGTCGCATTAGAATTTAAAAAAAATATTTTTTTTTTTCCCGCGTCCATAGAGCCAAAGGACGAAAGGAAATGAAAGGACGAGGAAAATGGGAAGAAAGGAAGTTAATAAAGTTTAAAAAATAATGCTTTTAGTGATCCTTTTTTAAACTTTTAATACGCGTGACGCGTGACATTTAATTAATGTACTATTCGACCATAATTCAACAAGGTTGAATAAATGTCTAATCGTAGATCATTACCAGAATATAGGCTGAATTTTTACGAAAGCGCCTACTTTATAACTACTAGAAGATGAAATCAGTTTGAGCACATTTTCTTCATTTTACAATCGATCAATCATTAGTTATGATTTAATTACTGAGAATCAGTTGTTTTTAAAAATTTAGATATAATTTATTAATATGATATGAAAAATTAAATCTTATTTATAAAAATGAATAAAATACTAGTTTAATAAAAAAAAAAAAAAAGAAGAATATAAAAATTTTAATGATTTAAAACCACTTTTTCATTCTTATAGGTGAATTTGATCGGAAGTTTCATACATATTGTTCCCTATTAAGTACATCTTTATCGGACATATTATTATTTTCTTTTGTAAAATAAATTTTTTTCAAATGTACACAATTTGAAAAAATATTACCAACTAAATTAAAATTAATAGGGTTAATGACCATAGTTAATCTTATTATCTTTGAACAATAATTAGATATAATTCTAATTAAATTTTCATTTTCGATTCTATAATATCGAGACTCAAGTGTACGACATATCTTAATTTCTAAAATTTTGCCACCAGATCTTTCAATTATTAAGCATTCAATATTACATGGTAAGTATGAAGTTTCTAAATATTGTAAATTTGGAAAAAAGGACGTTCTTAAATAGAGCTCCCATTCTTGCCATTTTATACTATTATAAAATTCACCATCATCATCATTATATAAGATTAAATATTGTAAGTTCTCCAATGATGGAAAAAATGTGGGTGAAATTAATGTGATTGATAATCTCAAAATGATTTTTTTTAACGTAATAGCATTTTTACTGATCATATCACTTAATTGTGTACATAAAAGTGGTAGATTATTTTTCATCCTAATAAATGAAATTAAATCATCATCTTTACTATTTATTACTTCAAGATCTGTTATGTTTATGATTCCAAGACTAAATAAAAGTTCCGGATCCATATATTCTATATTTATTTTCAATTGATGTATGCCGGAAAAAAATTCTTTTACATTTGGACATAATAAAAATAACCTCTTATTTTTAATCCAATCGAAATACTTAATATTTTTACATTTACTAAAAATCAAAAGATATATTTCAAATTCTAATAAGATTTTTTTGTAAACAGAAGGAGAATCCTTCTTAAATGAAAGTTGTACCATATCTTCAATCCAAATCGGTGAAAGATGGGTAAAAAAATCCATATAATTAAATAATAATTTATTTGAAATTGGATTTGAAGGTAAATTAATATTTAATTCGGACAACTTTTCTTTTGGTAGAAAATGAAAAATTACATTGTAAAGTTTTTTACGTGATTCTTTTTTATGAGCGTAAGGATTATAAGAATAAAAAAAATATTTCCATAAAATTGGTATTGCTAAACAACACCAAGTTCTGTTCACTAAAATGCATGAATATAACGAAGCGGGGTCAAACCGCAATTCAGTCAAGATTAATAAAAGAATATCATCGATAAGTTTCGTCATTATTAATGAAGAAGGATAACGATAGAAATTATTAAATTGTGTAATAAAAATAAATAAATTCTGAAACGTTACGTTATTGAATACTAAATTGTACTGTAAAATAAAAGTATGAAACAGTATGAAACGATAAAATATAATTCATGCTTAATTTATAATGTTTGTTAAATTTATGGGTTGTACATGTGAGAAACGAAAAAATATGAATTGATCTACTAACAATAAAAAAAACCCCTTTGTAAGAAGATCATTATCTCCTATTTCTTAATTTCTTGTATAATTATTGTATAAAATTCTGATTATATGAAATATTTTGTTACAATTCAATAAGCTTGATTTGGAGTTCAAAAAATTATTTTATTAATTATAACGCTGATTGTTAAACTGATTGTTAAAATCATCATGCATAATTATCAATTTAAAGTGATCCAAATAACCTTCCATTTAGAGTTTTATTGAAATGTATAAGTACTTATATAATATTTCTAATTTTTTTAAGCCACTTATTTATTTATTTATGGAGTTTAATTTATTGAAGTGATTTGATCCATTTATGATTTTATTGAAAGTATTGAAAGTACATAATTTTCCTATATAACATGCCTAAAAAAAACTCCGGTAGATCTGAAAAAGCTCGGATATGGTCAATTTTCTAAGAAAAATTCTATAGGGCTATCAACTTTCAATAAAGATTTTTATGTCGTAATTATTAATTTGAACTATTGATTGTGTATAATTCTTTTTTGAAATTTCTTCAATCCTTTATAAAGAAATCCATTTTCAAATATCCGAATCCATAACAAAAAAAGTAAATAAGTCATAGATTTTTATTGTTTCCAATTTTAGACGTTAATTAAATTGTAAGGTTTCACAATATGGATTTTTGAAACATAATTATTATGACCGAGAAAGTCCATTGTTCGTATGTAGATCATTATTTTGTGGACGTACGAGTTGATGTAAATCGAAAGTTAATAACTGATAAGCCACGAATAAAATCAGTAATATGTTCGTTATTGTCTTTGTGTTGTCTACATTCGACACGCCGTAGGGTAGCTAGCGAAGGACATTATACTTTATGTATATACTATGATGTGTAAAAATTGACAAATCACGTGGGATTTCCGTCGCGTCATTTCTGATTGGATAAATTGCGTCAAAGCCATCAAAACAAACGCTTGCCACGCTCCGGACTCATAATGTTTTTAGTTGTTGATCATTTCCTTTTTTACTGACCAAAATAATCTATAAAATAGAACAAACCTCTGTAACGCTTTCTTCGTTTCTTCGTTTCTTCGTTATATCGTTTTATATCGTTATATACGTAAATTATTTATACACAAAATAAAATATTTCTAAGGCTTTTTACTTGATTTTTAAAAGTAAATAACGAATATGTATAGTAAAAGTATGATGTTTGATATAAAAATTTAGTATATTAATTGTTATCATCGTTATTTTTTTAGCATGTCAAATCCCGCTAGAACTATTACTGCTGAAAATATCGAAAATGAAACTGCGCATACTTATTATATAGAATATGTTAGTACCTCAAATTTATAACTTCTATAACTTCTCAAACACAAATTTGGTTCTAAATATTTAAATAAATATTTAAATTCTTTTAGGAAAAAAAACTTTCCAAACTTGCCTCCAGATTAGCCCATGGAGCTGAAAATCCAGCAGAGATAGTTATGGATTTTTTATATATATCAGATGCGGCTACAGGAGCTAATAGTGACTTGTTAGCTCGATATAAGATTACACACATCATAAACGTCTCTCCGTGTGTAAATTTTTTTGAAAAAAATGTTCCTCAAAAGTGAGTGATTAAATAAATAATATTTAATTTTATTTTATCTTTTTTTTTTTTATTAATTTTTTTTTTTTTTAATTAGGTACCCTAATTGGGATCCTCCCAAATATTTAAGATTAAACACATCAGAAATAAATATAGCAGAATTTTTTGATGTAAGTATACTTTATAATTTTTAATAATTATATGAATATTCTTGTTTGGATGATAATAACAATAATTAATTCTTATAAAATTTTTAGGTTTCGAATTTATTTATATATCAAGCAGCACAAGAAGGTGGTCGAGTTCTAATTTATTGCTGGACGGGAGCATCGGAATCTGCCACATTAATGTTAGCTTATTTAATGAACCATTATTGGCTCACCTATCAGGATGCTTTTAATTATTTAAACGGAAAATCGATTATAGATCCACACTCGACTTTCCGTTTACAATTAATTAATTACGAATTAGAATTATTAAGAGCTTGGAAGTTTCCGGTAAGTAAATAAATTTATTTTTGATTTGTTATTATAATCTTTAAATAATATATGTAAAAATAAAATACTAGGTTGACGATGATGATGACATTTCCGAGCGTGATGAATTAAAATTTGAAGATTATATAAATTATGACGATGAATCTGAGGAGATAACAAAATAGAAATTAAGTCATTATCAAATTTTTGTAAATAAATTTATAATATTATATTTATTGTATTATCCGTAGTATTTTTTTTTTTTTTAAAAAAAATAAAGTAAAGCTCAATTTTACTCATTTTAAAATTCGTTAAAAAATAAAGAAAAAAAACATTAGTAATGTTTCTAAAACAAAAATAAATTAAAGAAATACCTTCATTTCACCCAATTTCAAAGTTTAAGAGGCTGTTCATAAAAAAGGAACGTTCAGTTAGTACGTTAGTAACGTTCCTAAAACAAAAATAAAATGTAAAAAATAAAAAGAAATACCTCTATTTCGCTCATTAAGGTTCAAGAGGCTGTTCCTGAAAAAGGAACGTTAACAATGTTCCTAAAACGAAAAATAATAATAATAAAAAAGAACAATGTGCGTCAGACAATCATTTGACATTTCGGCGTATCCTATTCAAGTTCATGTAAGTTGCATGGTTACGCATAAAAAATTTCCTGATGTTCATCGACGAAGGAAGGGTTTTTTTCAAAATTTATTAAATGAAATCGAATATAATTTAAGTCGGTGGATTAGGTTTTTTTTATAATAGATATTAAATTTTCCTAATTTTAATGAGAGGAAATAGATACGGAGAAAGATTTTATATTAACATTTTTATTAAGATAGAGGGGAAGTGTTTTTTTTTTTTCATGATTAACATTTCTCATGATTAATATTGAATTTTCTTTCATGAATTTAAATGTATGTCTGGAGGGAAGTATAGAAGAGGGTTTTCTTCTTAGGATTAGTATTGAAGAGTTGGGTAATCACCAATTTATATTGATCAAATGAGCACGTTTTGTCTATTTCTTCGGATGATGTTACAGACACCGAAATTGAAAAAATAACGATGAAACAAGAAGATATTTAAAGACTAGCGTAAAAGATGTTTTGGAAGGACGTTTATTATGTAAGAATATCTTACAATATATTTAGGGAGTTTGGCTTAATACAAAGCAGCATCAATGTGAATCTATAGAAAAATAATGTTCCGTTCCGTTTCCAATTATTTGCTAGGTACAAAAGAATGATCCTCTCGTAAGGTAATATACAGTATTTATATATGAACATGTATTCTTAAAATATTTTAAAAATAATAAAAAAGGACTACTAGAAATTAATTAGATTTATCATAAATCAAATTTTATACGATTAGAATTATATATGAAAAGACGTGATCCGCTACTTTTTGATAATAAATTTTTTACCGACTTAAATAATTAATGCATCGCGTGAAACTTTTTAAGATACATATTATGTTAAAATATAATTGAAATTTCATAAAATTTATTTATACGATAAATAAGAAAACCGGATTAAATATACATGATAGAATTGCTATCATTCTCAGTTAAACGAGAAAATCTATACATGAAAATTTTTAATGCTATACTGCTATACTTTATAAATTTAGAAATTGCTAGATAACTTGATAGACTTTGATGTTCAATAAAAAAAATTTTTAAAATTAAAAAAATTTTCCTAATCACTTTTATTATTTATTTAAGTAAAACAAATCAAAATTCAAAAATAATCTATATAATAAAAGCTTAAAATAGAAACATGGGTGTTAAAATTTCGATTAACCTCGTAATTTACCATCTAATAATCCTGGAAGACATATTGAACGCACCTGTTTTCTACAAAAAGGAAAAAAATGAAACGTTAAAATGTTTCTTTAAGTAAATTCCAATCAAATCTTCTATTGCAACATCCAAGTCCTCCAAACAATGTTGCTCTTAACCTGCACCTTTCAAAACGTTCAGGTAGGAGTATCTAGGGTTAAAGAAACGTTAGTAAAGGTCCTACTAACGTCCCCTAACTCCCAATTCCCAACGCCTATCTTTCATTCAGAATCCAAGGCCAAATCTTCGTTCAGACGTTCAAGTAGGTACAGTACCCACAAAAAAAAAGACAAAAGAAATGCTTATAAAGTTTATTAACATTCCCTAAATCACCACTCCCTAATTCCTACCTTCCATTGAAACCGATCTCAAGTTCTGAAGTCAAATATCCAAGGCGTCCAGTAGGTACCTACAAAATAAAAAGAAATCAAAAGGAACATTAGTAAAATTGCATTAATGTTCCTTAAATCCTGCTTCTCCAAGTCTACTTTTTAACTAGAAAACTTCGAAGTTAGATGAACTTACTAATTTCATTCGTCTTATACTTCGAAATTGGTATGGCTGGAAACGCTCAGATAGTACTTAAAACTTTTCTTTGAAAAAAAAAAAATAAAAAAAAAAATTTTTTTTTACAATTTTTTTTATTTTTTTTTTAATAAAAAATAAAAAATAAAAATAATAAATAAAACAATAACAATTTTTTTTTAATAATAATAAAAATAAAATAAAAATAAAAAAATAAAACAATTTTTTTTAATAAAAATAAAAAATAAAAAAATTTTTTTTTTCACCTTTTCTTTAAAAAAAATGATCGATAAAATTTATCAATCTCAATGGGGATCAAGTTTTTATATCCACCGTAGTATAAAATGCATTACTATACTATACAACATCGGAGGTTATAATTATAACTATATTATCTATAATTTTCGAGGTAATGTTAAAAACTTATGGAGAAATATTAGATCTACATTCTGCAACAGTAGAGTTTAATTGCTGGAGGTTGGAATAGGGACTGCAAATGGTGTAACTCATTAGATGTACTTGAAGAATTAATATCACCTACTGTTTCTTTAGGATAGAAAGATAAATGCTTATATAAATATACAGTATATATATATATATATTAATAAAATAAATTAAGATGATATATATATTTAAGAAAAGACGAGCCACCTACTTAGATTATGTATCAAGCAATTACTCGGGAAGCGGTAAGATCTTTAAAATTTGCGAGGAGGTACAAGATATGGCAAAAAGAAAACCAAACCGAATTGATCCTAAATATTTCACAAATTATTAAAAAGAATTTAATGTCGACATGTACCGTACGAATGCAATTACTCATGAATAATAATCAGACACGTACTTAAACATCCAACTTATTCATCACGTTCAACTTCGATCTATCCGAACTACTCATCCAATAAGTATTATTCTGCATCGACACAACTGCCAGTCCAGTCCGAAGCCACCCTTATCACAACAGATCATATCATCGATTTCAACCATCAAGATAAGTATTTCTTTCTCATTTGCATGCTCTTTCTTTACTTGAAGCTTTATCGTTGGAAAAAACCAGTAATCGACTTATTTTTGTTGCTACTTTGATAAATGGACTCCAATTATTTTGTTGCTTTAGTATCACTAGCATTAAGCTCATCCACTTGTGCCCTTGAGTATTTGTAATAAGATGAACAGAAGATATTATTTTAATTCTGGAGTAATTGATCGTGGATTTTAATACCCTTTTGCTCACGTCTCGTTTTCTTGAAAGACGAAAGTTATTCTGATTTAAATCGTCGTCGTCATTAATCTCCGTTTTTGAAAGTTTTTGGTAAAACTTGGAATTTCTTCGAGATGATGTTTAATCGTCAATTATCTTATGATCATCATCAGCTGCTAGTCCATGTTCACACATCGTACGATATAAATCTAATTATATTCCCGTTATCGCCACTTGTCCAATATATTGTTTCATTATAATGATCCCAGTTCATCAGCACTATTAATATAATATAACAAGATTTTCATTACTAAGTGCTTCTAACCGCAAGTAATAACGATAAATGTTTTTAAACCCTATAAAATCTGTGTCATATATTATTATACAATTTGGTGTACTTGAAGTTAAACTCTTTTGTTTTTATATAATCTATTTATTGTTACCATTGATCTTTTTCTTTAAAAAATGATGCCTAACAATTAATATTTTTTTTTAGGATAACGACATTGCAGTTATCTGTTTTTCTGTTGAACGCTTCCATTTCATTGTTATCCTGCTTATTATCATTTCTAAACCAAAATATTATTATATATTACCCATTTCATCATTAGTTTTAGTAATTAATTGTTTTTTATATATAAGTCCTCATTATTATTATTAATTTTGTACTTTTTAATATTGATAAATAATGAGAGTCAATTTTCAAAAGTTCGTAAATTACAAACGATTATATATCTAAGAACATTTTTGTTTATTTAACTTGTGATGTTTAGTCAAAATAGGATTGGCAAAATCTCCATAGATTTAGATTAGTGGATAATCTAAATTCCAAATGAATATTGTCGCTTACAGTGTATTACATTACATATGCAAGGACTTCTAAAATAGAATCTGTCATGCAAAAACAAGTTTCAAATTTGGAAATTTGGAGCTTGCTAATCGAAATCTGTTGTACAGAATTTTTTATTGGTATATATTTACTGTATATCATCTTTAGCCGCTAGTTCTTTTGTAATAATTTTAACTAATGTAATTTCTTTTTTAGATATGTTGTTTATGAAATTTGAGCCAGAATGCATAATATTTGGAGAATATGCAAATTTTTTTCTTCAAACTAAAACACTTAGGTGGCGTAACTGGTAAAGTGGCAATAAGAATTCTTAATACTCTATAGGGACGTTATGCGTTAGTTTTCTGCGATGGATATGATATGTTTGTACTGAAGAAAATACTTTTCTTCTAATTAATTAATAGACAAATTTTGAGCTAATCCTATTTGTTAATTTTAGTTTCTCCAATAATGATTCTTTAAGAGTTAATGATAACGATGTACTTTTACCGTCAATTGTTGAGAAAGATATTTGGACAAATTTCTGCAATTTAATATGTGGGTGACTCTTTTTTACGTAAAAAGATCTGTATATCTTTTCTTATTTTCTTGTAAATTCACAAAATAATATTTACGTACAATAACAACAAAAAAAAATTCATTCATGTGATCAAGTTTAACGAAATATAAAATATATTATATACATAAATAAAATTTTAATCATTCACTATAATTTTGGAAATATACTCATTAAAAAAAAAAATATACCAGTTGGCCACTGCATATAGTATCCCCCAAAAATAGTACCCCATTATTAAGACCTGGGTATTATTCACCACCCATGCTACCTAGTTCTTGAATAATACCCGGGGTATAACCTTTAATAAATTATCACTTTTCATATAATTTATATCCAAATATAGTACCCGGTTCCTCACGAAGTACCCGCGGGTGCTATTCAATTTAAAATATCGAGTTCTTGAATAAGACCTTGGGTACTATATGCAGTGACCAACGGTATTTTTTTTAAATCATGTGAACAGTATCATATTTATCGCGTGACCAATTAATATTGTTTCTTATTGTTACAGAAAAATTTTTTTTTGGAAATGACTTTATTGAATTTTATAAATCTGGAACAATCAAAATAAATTTCCCAGATGCTATTATATTTTTTTTTTGTACTAAACTCTATTTAGAATTTCTTTTATTTAAAATCCTGTTTCCCAGACCAAATTATTTATTATTTTTTTTTTTTTTATCTTTTAAATCATTATTAAAACATTACGCACTATAAGCCCTCTTTCCTGGTTTCTACTTTTTTTCACGAGGAATTTTCTAAAAAAATTTTTTTTATTGAATAATGAAACAATATTATCGGTTTCTTCTAAAATGGATTCATTTTTATTATCGGATCTAATTATCCAAAAAAAGAAAATCCTACCGAATGCACGGGTGACAGGCGGATCTAAATTCCGAATTCCGAATTGTTCCTTGTTTTTTTTATAGTCACTAGTCACCCGAAAAAACTTAGTCATTAAAATTCGTTAATTAATTCAATGACGAGGAATTTATTGATATATTTTTTATCATTGTATTAATAACTGATAGCGTTAATTAACAATTAAATTGCAATTGACTTGAGGAAGAATAAAGCCTTTATTTTTTTTGTTTTTATCAAAATTCCGCGATTCAAACGCATAAATGATTCATTAAGATAAAATTTCGAAAATAAAAAACGTCGATATAGCGCATAACTTTATTATATTAAATATTCTTTCGAATAAAGAATAAATAAAAAAATATGTAAAAAATATATTTTACATTTATTAACATTAACAAAGAAAATATTCGTTCGAATAAAGAATCGTAAAAATCGATAATTTAAAATACTTGATTTTCGAATTGAGTATGCCGTAACGCCGGGTAGTCGTATTTCGACACCGTTTTAACATTTTTAACTTTAATATTTATCTTTCTCATTTTATTATAGATTGCTGGTAAAGAAATGCGAGACTAAAATAAGAATTTCGATATCATAATTATTACGATCATATTAAATCAATACTTACCCCAAGTCTTGGTATTAAAGCGAATAAAGGAATATCACAAATTTATCCAAATATTCCTTTAATACTATCCATTATCTTTGTATAATATTATGCGCTTTAAATCGCATAAATTATTCAAAGAATTTTAGGGCTATCCGTAAATAAAAAAATATTTATTTAGATACTATAAAAATCTTGATAAATTATTAACATTATTATTTATTGTTTGCTTTACCTGTGGATTAGGATCTTTAATCGTTAATACACGACGCTGAAATGAAGGAATGTAGACGTCTAATATATTTAAGATCCAAGTCCCAGAATAATGATGGTGGACGGAGTAGCTCCTGTCTCTTATACATCTGTATGCTGATGTGACAATCAAGTGTATACGTTATAACTGTATATATTATCTTGTTCATGTAAGGTTATCTAGGCTTTATCAATACAATCGTATTTATTTACACAGTATATAGTAACAAGATTATATATTGTTACATATGTATTATATAATTTATATTATACATTTTTTTATAAAATGAAATTTTCAACTACGTACAATACATAAACATGTCTAACGTTCTCAATTAAATGAATTGTTCTTGTTTTTGTTATATAATATCTCAAGTTCGAATGGATTAAATTAAAATCCAAGTTCCAAGTTATCGGAATAAATAAAACGAAAAAGCAAAAAAAAAAAAAAAACGAAAAGAACGTCCTCTGGCAAGTCACAAAAGTCCTCTGGAATGTCACAAATGCACAACATTTTTTCGCCCGACATAATTTTAATCACATTTATTAGTTTGCACTATAAAAAAACGCCATCCTACCTTAGAAATTAAAGTTTTTATATAGTATAATTAATTATTAGACGCGAATTAACTTTTTTTGATCATTAATTTTCTTATCATGTGCAAAGATCATATGTAAAAAGTTCTTATCAATAAAATTATTAATTAAAGTTTTTGCTCTGATACGTTCTTTCCTTTATCAATCTAGAAAAAATGAGTTTTGATAGAAAGGAGAAAGAGAACTCACAGCGGAAAACCCAAAATAAGTTAATTCATTGAGAAAAAATTTTCATTTAAACAATCAAAAGTAGATTATATCAGTTTCATACATACTCATCAATTAGCAAGAGATAATCTGATATGTACAATACAAAGATATCATATAAAATTATTAAAAGGGGAAGACGGCAACGACGGAAATACCAAATTAAGTTAATTTATTGAGAAAATAATAATGAATTTGTAGGAATAAGTTTCCCGATAAGTAAAGTTATTACTATTAAAGAGATTAATCTGAATGTAACCCGAATTTGATGGAAGGGTAAAATATCGGTCAATACGAGACTGCATCTAATCCATTGTCCCACTATTGACTGTTTATGTTACCCTCCCATTTAATAACTGTATTATTATGCATGCCACTCAAGGTCATGTCTAATTTTAAGTTATTTTATAAATGTTTAGTTTTTTAAATAAATAACGTGTTGTAACCAATATTTTAATCCCACCTTCTAATAGGATATTTATGTTTTACTATATGATGAATTATTCAGCATATTTTATTTTTAATTTACCTACCATGTTGAACTACCGACAAAACATGGTAAATCATAAGAAGAAAAGAAAATATTATAACTTTTTTTTTAAAAAAAATGAATACATTTTTTTATTTGATTAATATTTTAATACTATCTTTAAACTTAAAAATTCTTTGGTGATAAATATTCCACTTATAAACTCATTGTATCTAAAAATACATCTCTTGATCGATTGGTTTTGGGTAATAAATTTTCGTATCAACGTTTCGATTCTAACGGGTTGCGATCCCTTTCTTTCGTCGATCAATATATAAGGTATCTTCAAATATAAAATTGCGCTTTGCGCCTATATAATTTTAATTTTTAGAATCTCGCATTTTTTTAACGTACCCATATTCACTAATCACAAAATTCTTCTTTTACAGTATTAGATTGAACTTTTGAAGATATATTAGAAAATCTTTACAAACATCATTTGAAATAAGTAATTCAATGAGAATAAGTGCCATGATTTATTTATTTAATACATGGTTGAACCAAAAGAGTGATATTTTAGAATTATTAGAATATCAATTTTTTCTAAATCATTTTATTTTTATAATTTTTTTATTATTATCGTATTATTATTCAGAATTCTGTATACAGTCAGAACTCGATATACCGATATTCGATATACCGATACATTATTAAAAACTTGATATACCGATAAAATTTTACATTCCCACTATATGTGAGGACATATAAATATCGGTATAATTTGATATAACGATATTTTTTAAATTTTTTCTTATGAGTCCCGACATATCGTTATATAAAGGTTTGACTGTACGTTATAATTACTTGATGATTATGATTACAGGACAATTACTGGACAATTACTGAATGATTATGATTATAGGACGATTCCAGGACAATTACCGGACAAAATTGTCTTTTTTATTAGATGACCTGCAGGGGGTAGCACAATTTTGAAAAGCGCAATAATAAAATTATATATAAAAGTTTTTAAAAAATCAGGAGCCAACGATCGATAGGTGTTCATCACCATGAAAATGAATTCGTTGACGGATACCTTTTGATTTTTTTCTATCAATATAATCCCTCGGTTCACGTTCAATTACAGGTGTATTTTCGAAGAAAAAATTATATCGATTCTGAATAATGTTTTTATTTTTTGTTCTTATTTCTCGTCAACTATTTTGCGCATGCTACTGCAGTTCTTTTTATTCAATGTTGTATTCTGGCTTTTCACCATTCGGAGAATGCAAAATCATTCACATATTGTTCATATACAGTAGGTTGGAATAAGGTAATTCTTGGAATATTTTGGCTCGCGAAAATATGTTTGTTTCATTGTAAAGTAACGCGACCGTAATGAAAAAAAATACGAAAATATTTATATTTAGGATTTAAATTTGATGTGAAAAGTTGCAAGTAGGCTTTTTTACTGTGTTTTAACCTTAACCGAAACTTGTAACACTATTGTGACATTTTTGCAAATGACGTTGTGTGCCAGGTTCGTGGCACAGCAAATTTTAAAAAAAACATCATTAAGGATTTTTTCTTTGACATGAAGTTTTTAAACTTATATAGTAGATGTAATTTCACCTGCTCTGCAAGTTTAATTAGGATTCGGAAGAAGGTTACGAATGCCGATTTTGACTTTACATATAAATGATTGATTCTACCGTCTTTGTCGATCGTTTCCAAAAATGGATTTCGTGAAAGAAAAATTTTAAGTATCATTATTGACTTATTTAACAAAATTCGCCTAAGTAAACTTAAAAATTACATCTTTCTAGTAATTTTTGAAGTTAAAAAAATTCTCTCTGATTATCGTTGCGCCACAATTTGCTGGCTGCGCACGAACCTGTCAGGCTGTCACACAAAAAGGTGCTAAATTACTTATAATATGACTGACGCAGAAAATTTACATCATATATGTGACGTCATTTAGGGCTAATTATGTTTTTAATATCGGGGAATATTTTAAATTGCCGGAAATTAATTTCCGGTTAAATAAACAAGTACTATAAAAATTCCGGAAATTAACTGGATTTTTTATATTACCATTATTAATATTCCGGCGGGATATAAAAGATAAACATTTACCGGGTTTATTATATCAGTCACGTGATATAATACTAATAATCGATCTTTTTTTACTAAACTTTTTTTTTAATGAAACTTCCTCTCCCTTTTCTTTCGTTCCCCCCTTTCCCTCTTTTTTTCGTTCTTTCCTTCCTCTCTTTCGTTTCCCTCGCCTTTTCTTTCGTTTTCTCCTCTCTTCAACCTTCCCTTTCACCTAAATTAAACGCTTCAAAGTGAAAAAAATAAGTCTAATTTTTTTCAAGTTACGTTCTCGTTTCAGCGAATCTCTTGTGGAAATGTAAAATTTTTGGGTTTTCTAAGTAATTTTTTTTTCGTTTTTAGTACTAATCTTCCTTTTTTTATAGGGTTTGTCTTCGTTCCGGCCTTCAGACGCTCGGGAATTTTGGTTACTTTTTAGATGGCCAAAAAACGCGTTGAAATTCGGTAAGAGGAGGGATTTTTTTTTTTTTCTATTTTTAAAAAAAAATTTTTGGGAAGAGGCGTATTTTTCATTGACAAAACGCTTATTAACGTTTCGGGGGTTTTTTTTAGATGGTTTTCTGGATCTCTTATCGGGATTCCGGTTAGACATTAATTTTTTTTTATTAATTTTTTATTTTTAACGAACTTTACTAAAAGTTTAGTTCCTTTTTCTTTTTTTAGGCGGATCTTTCAGGCCGGACGTTAGTAAACTTCTTTTTTTTAAATATTTTTATTTTAACGAAACTGTTACTAACGTTTCATTTTTTTCTTTTTGTAGACAGTCAATCCTTTGGAATATTTGGACGTGTGCGGATAGTTTTTGACTTCTGTAAATAATTCTTTCAACTAAACTTCTAACGTTTCATAAGCTACCGCCTACCGGTCTTCGGACGCGTGGAAAACTCGGTAAGGGGTTTACTTTTGTTAATTCTTTTAATGAAACGATCGCTAACGTTTCGTTTATTTTCTTTTTAGACTTCGGAGCATTTGACGCGTAAGGTACGGGGAAATGGTGAGTTTCGCAACTAAAAAGTTAGTCTTTATATTTATTTTTATATTTATTTTTTTTTTAAAAAAAAAATAGAAACGTTTATTAACTTCTTATTTTTTACTTTTTCTGTAGATTTGAGTTCGAGATACTGTACCTTAAGTTCGGAACGCCGATTTGGTATGTTTCTCGAAACTTCAATTTTTTAGTAATTTAATTAGAAACGTTTATTAACGTTTATATATATTATTTTTGTAGGGTTTCGGTCTTTGGTTGATGCGTGTTCCGATTCGTACGATTATACTTTCCTTTAAATTAAGACTTTCTTCTAAGAGTTAAATTATAATATTGTAGCCGCCTGTATAATATCTTTTTATACATGATTTTGATATTTTTGATTTAAAATAACTCAATTAATTAATTTTTTAAGGAAGGTGAAAAGGGTAAGTTTCGTGATGTTCGTTACGAAACTTTCATTTTTTTTATAATCTTATTTAATTAAAAACGTTAACGTTTCTATATAATTTTTTTTGTAGGTTAGCGAATTCAATGATAAGCGCAGTCCTATTTACAACATATATTACAGTTTTTTCACAATTTAATGGAACTTCTTCTTTTTTTGAATCGGATTATAATCATAGTTTACATTCACCACCACCATTTTCAATTGTATTTACCTCTGGAGCTATTGTAGGAGCTGCGCAATCTCTAGTTGCCGCACCATTAGACTCTTTAAAAGTTAGATTTGAAGTAAATGATTTATTAGAGGGAAAGCACAAAAGCATGTTCGTTTTTGCTAAAACTACTTGGAAAGAATTGGGAGTTGCAAGTATTTATCGTGGAATTGGCTTAACGTTGGTAAAGGTTTGTGTTAATCAAATTAATTTTATTATTTATGTTTTTATGCTTTTTTTGATAATCTTAATTTTTAATTTATTGATTATATAGGATTCTTTATCTTGTGGATTGTTTTTTGGAATTTTTGAATTTGTCAAACAACAATGTTATAATGCATAACGCAACGGGTGTTGCGAAACTTTCTTTTCATTAGAAAGAAGCAGATTCTAACGCTACTTACTTCATTTTTTTTTTGATGTTTCAGAATTTTGTTCTAGAATATTGGATATGGTATGTTTCATAATTGCAAAACTTTTTTAAATTTGAAACGTTTTCTAACGTTTCTCTATTTTTTTTGTAGTTTTTGGATTTTAGGTTTGGAAAACTGCAATGAGCATCTAGTGTTTTTTTTGGATAATTAGATTAATATAGATCTTTAACAATTAACATAGATTTTAATATAGATACTAGTATAGATTAAATAATGTATCTTTTAATTAATAAATAAACCGATTATAAACAATTACTACAATTAATAAATTTAACGCTATTTAACAAACTATAAGATATCTAATGTACTGATGATTGTTACTAAATTAACCTAATTTAACACATCATCGATAATTTTTATCATGTGATCTTTTCATCCCGACAGTCTATCTATTATTGTGAATTTTAAGTGAGAAAGTAAAATATAGAAATAGAATGCTTTTAATAGGATAATTAGGGTCTTCTATTATAACGTATTTTAACTATTTTAAGGGCAGTGAGCCCATTGAGTAACCCATACCCCTGAAAAGAAAAATGAGAATAATAGCATCTAAACACATGCTTTTGACCGACAATAATTTATAAAAATTTTAACTTCTTTTAGAACCTAACTTCCTTAAACGTTAATTTAATTTTTTCCACTTTTGTTAAACCTTTCGGTTAAATTTATTCCATCACTCTTTTTGGAATTGCGTAACAGGTGATGCACAGAAATCGCAGAAGATAATACTTAAAACTGTTGTATTAATGATTATGTAAATTTTTTAAATTCTTTCTTTAACCGATTTTTCTTCGAAAGTTCAAATCTATATGAATACGTTTGTGAAGGAAATTACTTGAACCAATATCTGATAAGATTCGTAACACGACCAATAGCTAAAATACAATACACTGTATCCCGATTTCATATTTTTTGAAAACATTATAACAAAAATTATACAATATTTATTAAATCAGACACTTTATAAAATATGTACCTAAACTTTTTTTTTGATAGTAGTTTTTTATTCTTTATAAAAATTTGAGTTAAAATGTTTCAATGTTACAGTTAAAAATTCTTCATATTTCATTATACCCTATCATAACAAATTCTCAATTTCAATCAAAGTTTTTTGTTTATAAATTTAAACAAAGAATTCAATAAAAGAAAAATGGATTTATAAAAAATGGACAAATTGATAAAATTGAAGTGTGGATAATTAAGCATTGATGCTTCGCCGAATGTATTATTTTTTTCCATGGAGTCAGGCGTTAAATTTGTTGCAGAAGGTACCCTAATAGAGATAATGGCGCATTTATTTTACTTTTTTTTTCTTCAAATACAATTATGAAATATTGTAACATTTATTATTATTATTATTATTATTTGAATGTTCTTTGATCATTTTTTGACGTAACAAGTGAACAAATCGTTCCGTTTCAAATTTTATTTTTCCGATATTTTAATAAAATCTTGAAGTTTAGCTCAAATTGAATCGGCGTGTGGCTGTCGAAAATTTCTTATAAAAAGGCTCTGAAATTCCTAGCGAATTACAATTAAAATACGCGCAACCAATCTAAATTTTTATTAATATTTCTAATAATATGGCCCAAAATAGCCTTGATTGGGCCATTAGCATAAATGTTAACGACGATGAACGAGTTATTGATAAACTATTAAAAGTTCTTATGTTAATATTGATAAACTATTAAAAATTTTTATGTTAATAATTTTTATGATTCATTATTATCATAGAGTTATTACATAAAGAAATTTAATTTATGGTTCTTTTTATTAAATCTCCTTTAAACTATCGCGCACGCGCTTGATGCACCAAAGTTCTCAAAACATGGTCAACAACCGATTATGGTATTGACCTAACAAGTGCTTTATAATAACTAGTATATTAATAAAATAATAACTTGTATAACTTGTAAATGATAAATCACACACATTATTTTAGATATGAAATTTTTTTAACACGTTTAAACTCCCTACTAATTGATATTCGGCTAATTACATAAATTATATGCAATGTGAAGAACTAGGTAAAACCGATGGAATAGATGTATTATATATATACCTGACCCTCTTAATATTAATCCTGATTCTATATCAAATGTTGAAAAAAAATTCTTAAATATATAGAAGATATACTTTTAAAATTTCCTAAAAATTAATATTTTTTTTCTAAAAAAAAGAATTTGGTAGTGCTCCTAACGGGTCAAGTCGGGTCGGGTTTTGTAGATATGTTGTGCCTCAGATCGATTCTTGCCTCAGATTGAAGCTCACGCACCTCAGATTGAGATTGTCATCTGACGCACCTCAATTGCTAATAAAAATGTGCTATAATTAAACATCAAAATTTCCAATTTTAATGTATTTTTAAGTACTAAGTAAACTTATTTATCATTACAATCCTATAATTTCAGATTAATTGGAATCATACTTATTAAATCTTTTCATTTGAAAAATGACTTAAAATTTAATGATTTTTCAGATAAAACACAAATATAAACTTCAATATAAATCGGATTTACATAAAAATTTCAGGAAACATGTAACTCATTATGGTGCACAAGTTTGTTTATGTTACAAAAAGTGGTTTAATTAATGAGAAAAAAAGTTTACTTATAACAGACTTTATTGAATGATTCAAATGAGGTGCGTCAGGTGACAATCTCAATGTGAGGTGCGTGAGCTTCAATCTGAGGCAAGAATCGATCTGAGGCACAACAGATATACCCGACCCGACCAAAGTGAAAAGGTCTTGACTCTAAACCCGACCCGAGTATAGTTCGACCGGATATCCCGGGTCTAAACCCGAATTTTCAAAGGAAAAAAAATGAGCAACCACCATTTTTTCGGCATTATAATGAATCTTTAATGAAATTATAATAGATATAATAGATTTGTAATATTATGAAGCTTTGTTATCATTCATTTATTATAATTAATTAGTATTTGTTCAATAACTCGGGTCAACCGGGGGTCACCGGGTCATAAAAATTATTGAACCCGACCCGAGCTTTTAAGGGTCGACCCGTTCCGTTAGGAGCACTAGAATTTGGGATACAATTATACCTGCAGTTATAAATGACTCGCCATAAAGGAAAAAATCTTCCTTATCTCCTTACTAGCTTTATGATAATAGGTCGAATAAAATAATTCTTCGGGAATGAAATTTTTATATAATACATAGTAATGTACAGTATATTGGCGGGACAAAACGATTATATATTATATCGTACAATACAAAATTTAATTACTACGCGAAATTTACGAAAATGTGAAACTAAATCTTTGGCGAATTGATAGTTAAGGAAAACTAGATATTAAGCCAGATGTTAAGAAACGAAGACCGTTCACGGCACTTCTTACTGTCTTCCTAGCATGTTTAGGATCCTGAACATGTGAATTGATAAAGAGTACACGTGCTAATCTGATAACTCGTGGTTTTTTTCTCCGCACTTTTGTTTTCCACCTTTAAAATAGGAGTATATTTGTATTTTTTATAATTTATATAATGTAAAGTTTAATGAATAAAAAGGGAATTTTTTATAAGTAAATATTTTTCGTGCCGTAATTTCTAAAGTAAGAAAATAAAAATATTAGTATAGGGTTACTTACCGCACCCTCCCATATTAATCTTGCTCATAGTTGCGCACTTCAACATTGGGCAAGTTCCACACGAGCGATTATCTGTTCAAAAAACAGTCACGTCGAATCACAAAACGTAATTCACACTTTTATCAACTCGACTTACCCCACGACGTCTACAAAAAATTTATTTTGGCAATTTAAGTCAAAACTACGTTATTAAAATGTTTGAAACAATTAATTTTTGAAAAGAATATTAAGGTTATTTTCGTATTTGAATCCAAAGATGAATGGAATAATTTAAATATAGATAGCAATTATCGTAATTGGGCGAAGAATTTATCTCAAATTACAAATAGTGAATTTATGATCAGTTATCCAATCTGTAATTTATCATTTAGATTAATTAAAATGAGTTGTTAGTTCATATTATATAGAGAACTTCAAATTTTTAATCATTTTTTCAATTATATGATGAGAATAATAATTTTTTATTAAGAATAAATAAATAAATAAATAAATAAATTATTCAAGATTTATTAAATTTTAAGTCATGAATGAATACACAAAAATTAAATTAAAAACTTCGCATTACTATCAAGAAATACAAGTCAGAACCCGATATAATAACGATGTGGTATAATGATTTTTTAAAAGATTTTATCTTATACATGTTATCTATCGAGTTCTGACTCATTAAGTTTGTTTAGAAATTAAATTTATAAATTATAATCCCCTGTCGCACTAAGTGTCACTCATGGCTGAGTTTATAAATGACCAGGACTCAATAGATAGCCGAGAAATTACTAATTTATAGTTAAGTTTAAAATAGTTAATATTTAATGAGTGACACGCTTACCCATTTATTTCATGGGAAGGGGTTTTCTTCCCGAAGGGAAAAAGCCCTATTTATTCCCAATTCCCCATGAAATAAATAATATAAATTTTGAGGATAAACTAAGGTTAAAGAACTGGTTATATGAAGGGGGTATAAAAGTAAAATATATATATAAAGGAATGAATAAAATGAATGAGCGAGGATTGAGGATGAGGGATAGGATTAAGGTTGGTTAGGGTTAAGATAGGATTAGCGAGGATTATGGTTTAAAAGAAAGGAAATTGTTCTGTCTGGTGTTTCATTTATTTGTAAGTGATTTATGATTATAAAAGAGTAATGAATCAGGTGATTGATTTAGTTGCTCGAATAATTTGTGTATAAAAGAGTGTATAAATTAAATTTTATTATGAACAATAGGAAATCAGGTGATTGAACCAGCAATTTGAATAATCTTTATGTGCTCAAATAATTTTGTGTATAAAAGAGTGTATAAATTAAATTTGATTATGAGCAACAGGAAATCAGGGATTAAACCAGCAATTTGAATAATCTTTATTTGTAAAAATTATGCTAATCTTTATGTGCTCAAATAATTTTGTGTATAAAAGAGTGTATAAATTAAATTTGATTATGAGCAACAGGAAATCAGGGATTAAACCAGCAATTTGAATAATCTTTATTTGTAAAAATTATGCTCAATGGTGATTTAAACCAGTATTTTATTTTATTTATAATTTGTATAAATGAAATAAACGGTGGGGATTGGTTGATGAATAATAATATTATCATGTTAAGAAATTGGATAAATAGGTTAAGATGAGAAGTAATAGGAATTAAGGAATGGATAATTAGGTTATGGTTAGGGTTAGAGTTAGGGTTAAAGTGAGAAGTAAAAGGAATTAAGGAATGGATTAGGTTAGGGTTATGGTTAAAGTTAGAGTTAAAATGAGAAGTAAGATGAGGATGAATTTTTATATGAATATGCATATTTAATTTATTGATTCTTTTTGTGTTCTTGTTTTTTTTTTTTTTTTTTTTTTTTTTGTTTTTTTTTGTGAAAAAAAAATATTGAAATATTTTTGCCATTTCTCTAGGAATTTTTAGAGCTTTTTTATAAGAAAAAAAAAAATATTTAACAATCATGCGGTTTGCAGAATTTTTAACAATAAATTAAATCATAAAAGGCATCAGATCATCAAGTATGTTACATGATGTTACATAAAATTTTATTGTTTTAAAATTATATTATTATCATTGCTGCTATTTTTGCATTTGCTTGCATAATTGTCATTATTTATATGTAAATATCTACAATAACAATACTTTTTTTATTATAAAGTCAGATAAAGTAGAATTTATTTTTAGTAAATATCGATTTTTTTTTTGAATGATCAAAAACTTCAGATTAAAATTGATCAATTTATTTTCTAAAAATGTAAATTAATAAAGAAAAAAAAATGTCTTTAATAATGAAAAAGAAAATGAGTCATAATATTTATGCATTTTATTCACAAAGAAAAAAAAAATACAAAACTTTATTTGGCAAATTTATCCTATGTGATATAATCAAAATTTATTTATTTATGTAGGAGTAATTGTCTTACTTGCGATTATTAAATCTTTAAAACAATAAAAATTAAAATTAAAGTCTGTCCATACACTGCGGCAATCACATTATATGATTATAGGTCATCGTCATTGTACAGCATGTACAGCATTTCATGATCATCATACAATTATCGAAATTTATAGTACAGCTATTACAGCTATAATAAAAATAAAAGAAAAAAAGTTCAAAATTGTGAGATAAATTTTCAAATGTTTTTTTTTTTTATATATTTTCATTTTTTCTGAAAAGAGAAAATAAAAGATAAAAAATATGGGACTGCTTTTTCTTTGATAAAATGCTCAATTTAGGTTCTTTATTTTTATTTAAAAAAAAGATTTTATCTAAAATCTAAAAATAAAACCACAAAAGATGACATATGACCAATTCTGAAACGCCAGCATACATCGGAGTTCCTAAAAGTGAAATATTTTTTTTTTAGAATTATCATTTAAACCTGTTAGAAACAAGCAAAATTGATTAACTTACTAAAGATTTTGAAAAGTATTTTTTTTTTTTTTTATTGTGTAAAAATTCATTGTAAAATTTTTTGCTACATATTTATTCGTCTATTCGCTTATTTTTATGTTTCACATATGTTTGTATCAATTATTCCATAATTAGATTAAAATAAGCAACATATTTTTATAATGAATAATTCTTTTTTAAATCACTTTTTGATTGTTCCTTTTACAGAATTCCATATCTTAAAAAAGTCTTATGAAATACGCCCTTGATGATCACATTGTTCTACAGCATTTTTTTACGTAATTCATTTAGATGCCTTATGGAACCTCCTTTCCATCTACTGTTAAAACGCGAAAAAGGAAACTCAATGTCTTCCACGTGATTTATGGCCAAGATTATGCTTATGCGTTCGGCCAAGGATCTGCAAAATTTTAAGGCATTATACCGACATTCAGTTCTGATTAATACAATAAATTAATGCATGATTTAACATTAATAGGGTAATTTTATGAAAGAACATCAATAAGATTTATAAAATTTTGTTTGTACCATTTCCAAATACATCATACAATAAGTAAACAACGAAGTTACAGTATGTGATCATGTCACCGATCAATAATTTATTATTGATCACATCAATAAAAATTATTTTAGAATCCTCAATGCTTACTTAATTATATTATTCTTAATAAAGTTATTAATCAAAGTGGTTATCACGATAAAAAAGTCATAAATTTCTTTGTCGTGAATGTAATACCATTTATTGTAAAAATAGATGAAAAACTCATATATATAAGAGCCTAAATTTATTTCAGAAAAAAAAATCAACATTTTCGAAATTTAATAAAATGGCAGGAATTGATTACTTTGTAACATCTTTAATCAATAAAATCGATAGAAGAAATCTTTTTTTCCACTTAAATGATCCAGAATCATATATTTCTCTTGTCGGCGGGTCTCGACCAAAAAAGCCACCCAATTCATTTTCAATATTCAGGAAAAACGTATGTAATGAAGCAAGACGACATGAAGTTTATAATATGCGTGTAGTCACCAAAACCGCTATCATCTTATGGAATCAAGCACAACGCAATGAAAAAGATATTTATAGAAGACTATCTAGTCTCATTCATGAAACTTATTTTACAGAAGAAGTTTAATACTGTAAATTTTTATTATTTCTTTTTTTTAAAAAAAAATAAAAAAAATAAAATTGATATATCTATCAAGCATCCGAGAGAATAATGATGGCGAATCTTTTTTTTATTCTTATCGCTATATCTCATATATATAAATGTTAACATGGATATGAGAAGAACTGAAAATTTTTTTTAAATTTTATTAATATTTTTTTTCATTTTTTATTATTTTTATTTTTATTTTTATTTTTATTTTTTTTTATATAATTTATTTTTTATATATATTGTATTATTCGTAATTCATAGCTATATATTTTTTAATATTAAAAATGTATTAAAGCGATACTTTTTTTTCTAAATGTACGGAATTGATAAAAATCAAATAAAATATAATTAAATACGAAAAATTTAAACGTGTAATAAAGTTTTAATAAAAAATTATCATGTAGATACGAATTATTGTAGAGTCATACAAACTTGTTAATGTTTGAGAACATGATTTTTTTAAAACATACAGTATATATACTGTATATATACATATAATATAATACATATATATGAACAGCTTCAAGCGACAAATAATACATTATTACGAAACCTTTATACTTCATGCTGATAGGTTAATAATCTGGGTACATACAATAAAATATTACTAATCTTCAATTGGATTAATTACTATGTATTTATTTTAAGTTTTGAAGGCTGCACTTCAATTTTATCGAGTTTGACATGTAAACTTCTATCCTGTCGTTTTTTGTCGCTAATTTTATTAGATCTTTTTTTAAAAAATTTTTGTATTAGTGAAAAAATATAAACTTGAGAATCAAATATTACATTAAAAGCATCAGACGCGAAGATACAATATCATACTATTTCAACTCTCAAATTAGTTTATTAAGCGTTCATATATAATCATGATGTTCGCTACAATAAGAAAATAAATTTCGATATAAACTTTTATATAATAATACATTTCCATCAGTACTGTCTAATTCGAATCGTAATATTTTTAATGAATTGATATGGACAATTATTTTAGATTTGGATTAAAAAAAAAAATATTTCTTCTAAAACTACGGTGACCGTTAAACGTCCGAAGCGGGCGTCAAGCTGCACGTTTTCCAAAGTGAAATCTTATTGGTGTAATATTTTGCAACGATTTATAAACATCACGAGCACAACGTCTTTCACGTTGATTATGAGTTTCATTTTCTCTAATTTTGCGTTTTCTAAGTGTTTCAGGATGAATAAATATAGGCTGGCTATCCATTTTATATTTTTAATTTATTATTTTAAGATTTTAATGATTAATGACGAAAATAAGTTACACAAGATATAAATTATATTTTTTCATATATTATATTTTTTCGTTTATTATTAATGAATCTTAAATTGCATGAAGAAATAATTTAAAAACAACTAAATTTAATAATATACATCTTATGAAGGTTAAACTATTTTAAGCTTAAATAAAGTATATATATGTCACGTTTATATAAGTCACAGACACACATTGCATGCTTTTGCGTAGAATGTCGGACAATAATAAATTGCTGACGATTATTTTATGTATGGTGATACTATATTCTATTGTTTTATCACCAAATATAACTACGGTAATTAACTAAGCTAAGTCATCTCCTCCATCTCTCTATCGAGAAAAATCGAGAATCGCCTATTCATGAACTGTATCAGATGTTATTTTTGTCACTCGAGTAATTTTGCTTATGCTCATATTCTTGCTTCTCTCCTAAATCCGAATTTATATTATATATAGGATGCGATCAAGTTGATAAGATTTTAATAACTAATAACCAGGGAAACTTACTTTAATTATGTTTTTTTTTAAATTGTGCACGTAATTTTCAAAGTTACTTCGTGCTTGCATTTTTTTTGCAATTATTTCTATAGTTCTTCAGCTTCGGCAGCTGTCATTATTTAAAACAATATGTTAAAAAAAAATGAAATAATTTTAATGTAAATATTTAAGATTCGGTATAACCCACGCTCAATTTCTTTCAATAAAAGTCAATTAGTTTCAAATTTTGGTAATAAAAATGCACTACCAACATGCATACCTTTAATACAAAGTTGAGACTAAGATTGAAGGTGACTTTAATGTTTGAATTATTTTTTTTATTGAGAGATTGGAGAGAAAGTAATGGTAAAGTTCGCCTTCATATACTAATTAATACAGATTTTTTTTTTAGGAATACGATCCGAGTAAGAAATTTTCTTAATGAGAACTATTAGACTGAAGTTTGAATATTTTTGGCTTTTTGATGGGTATTATGGTATTATACTCAATAAACGGAGTTATTACATCACCAGAAGTCACAATATTAAAAGCATTAACATCATGTAAAAGAATATCTTTAATCTTTTCAGTAGTGTTCTCTAGTAAAATAGCGGCTTGTAAAGCAGCACCATATAAAGCAACAGCCTCATCCGGATTGATAAATTTGATTAATTTTTCTTAAATAATTTTTTTATCATCTTATGAATTCTGAGAATATGTGTTGAGCCACCAACCAGAACAATTACATGAACTTTGACTTTTTTGACATTCAATTTTTGTATCATTAAGTGCTTATTGCAGAATAAGACAAATCTTCATTCAATTTTTCGAATTCGTCACGGTTTAAAGAAGGATAATAGTGCCTTTGATGTAAAGAAAATTTATTCTTTTGTATAAAGAGGGGTCGAATTGTCGGTAAATTGACATAAGGAACACGTAGTTTTTTAAAAGAACATTTTTCGGTATGATTATAGAGACATGAATCAATATGAACATGATTATACTCTGAAAGTATATGTTTTGCACGTTCACAATTGTGTTCTGAATTCTTGTACGAAATGATTTACTAGATGATTATCCAAGTCTTTTCCACCAAGATTATTAATAATAAAAAATCTTTTTCATCATTATTTATATTAACAACTTCAATATCATCATCATCATCAATGATTTCAACGAATACTCCGATAATGACGACAACAACTACAACAACAATTTCACCAGAAATTACTTATTGTCATCAGCAATCAATACCGACTATAATAAATAATTATTAGAACCTTTTTGAATATTTATGTATGCATATTTATTTAAAATATATAATTATATACATACCAACATATTCTTCTGCCATTGTTTTTCTTCTTTCAAATACAGAAACTAAAAAAAGAAAATTGGTTAATTATGTTAAAAATAAAGGTGAATAATCGTATTAATTCATAGAAGTAGCTTACAGTAATTAAATATGTATATATTTCTCTCGAAGTTTTAATTTTGAATTAAACTTAGGATTCGATTTCGTGACAAGAAAATGTTTATCAACCCTTGTGTGAAATATATATATTCATTGTTGAAAAAATAAAAAATAAAAAAAAGTACCAACTTTTTTTGGAAAAACAGGAAAAAGGATTTATTGTCAAATCAACCATTCTCCATTTGGGTATAGAATTCGGGTTTTCGGCTTTCAGTTGTCTGATAAAACCGATAATCATCAGAACAAAGATCATAATAATAATAGAAGCCAAATAAAGAATAGGAGATTTTTTCGTAATTACCCTTTTTTTGGGGTTTAAAAGAGATTCTGTAAGTTTGTTCTAGATATCTAAAAGAATTGACAAATTTACACAAAAAAAAAAGTGCCACTCTTTTTTTACTTAATTTTGACTAGTTCGAATGATGATTATTAATAATTTTAATATTCGGATTTCGGAATCTTAGTCAATATGAACAAATTTGGAAAAAAAAAACTTGTTTATCCAATATTTTTTAAAAAAGAATTTTAGAAGTTGTATTTGAAATTTCACGTTATTTTGTCTCACGGATCTGCATACAATGAGCTGAGAGTTTGACAAAGATTTGATAACGTAAGACACAAATCACCAGAAGTGAAAAATCACTTAAGGTAGAAATCACCCGGAGTGATATCTCTAATTTAGCTGCATACTTATTCTGCAGAAAAAAAATAAACAGGTTTGATTCAAGAATTTTTTCGGGAATCAACTCCGTGATGAGGTTATCGCAAAAATCTTTGATTTTTTCCTGATTGTTAAATTTTATTTTCAATCAAATAAACTAAAAACAGATTTAAGGTTTCATAAGGGTATTTTGGTCAAATGCCTCATTATGCAGGTTTTTTGATTTTCTTATAGATGTGATGATCCTTAAATAAATTAGTATAATTGAAAAGCGACACAGCAACTTAATTTGGTTAATTAACCTTTTTCTTAAAAGCCTCAAATTTGAAAAGAATGTGAATCAGTGATCAATTTTTTCCAACAAAAACGCTTTATATATTAATTCATGAAGAAAATTTTTTGAATAAACTTAAATTTAAAGGTATAATTTTTTTATAATTATTAAAAAAAAAATTTATCATTCAAATATGAAAACTCATACTAAATTACTAATAACACGATAAGTTTAACGGTGTCCGCTCGGTCATGTGATACTAATTTATATTGATTGGTTACTTTGTCAACAAATGATTAATACTGGTGATACCCGGGTCTTATAACGTGGGTACTAACTTTGGGGGAAGCAGAGATCACATTTAGCTAATGATTCATTATTCAAAAGTGGTCAATCGATTTGCGATAGTAGCAGCTCACAGAGATCAATTGTATCGTCAAATCATCCAACATGGTTACTAAGAATAGATACCACATCCTAATCCAGTGATAACAATCAATGTTGAACTTTTCTGTATATTCTTTCCCTTCTAAAACACAGGAAATTCTTTAAAGTGAAAAGGCTGTCTAGCAAACTTTGAAGATTGATTTAATAAATTAATAAAGTCAAATTTTTAGTAAATATTATATAATATAGTATACTACTTTATTTCTTTTGTATTTTCATTTATTTCTCCCTTGAATTTGTATATTTTGTAAATAATGAATCAAATTACTTCATCTGTCCTAAATTACTGATTCAAATTATTATTTAACGAATTTTATTATGGATTAATATCCCGAAAAATTCATGAGAGGCAGTAGTAGGAAGGTGTAATCATTTTACATTTTCGTTTCGCTCCCCAATTATTAT